TTGCCGCAGGATGCTGCCTAGATTATATATATACACACACACGTATATTTCCAGCTCCCAATAAAAGTTGGGAAAGGAATCATCTTTGTTTGGGGGAAATAATGATATTATTACGGTTTTTAAATGCCATCCGGTCCTGGGGATTTTTTAAAAAAAATCTAAGCATTAAGGTGTCTTCCTGATCAATGGCTATGAACCTGAGCACCCTCCCCCGCAGCCGGCTTCCTACAAAAGATCCGGCCGCTTCCGCTTGGAAGCCTTCATGGGAGCAACAGACCTTGCTCAGATCAGCCCCGGATCAAAACCCGTCCCGACTGCCTTTCCTGGATCTCGGATACTAGGGGAAAATATTGTCTCCTTCCCACCCCATCTGGTCTGCGCGGTGTCGTTTTCTTTTTCTCCCCCTACCCCCGGCTTAACCAGGGTGGGGAAAGGAAATAGTGTAACAGAAATGGAAATAATACTTGGGCGGCTCTGGACACCCATTAATTTTAGCAGAGCGCGGCCGCGTTCTGTAAATGTCAACCGGAGACCTGTCCGAGTCAATGAATTACCGTGTGCTGGATAAACTCAAGACGTAGGGGGATGAAGATCTGTTATGGTTTCAAGAAAAGAAACATGGGCGGGGGGGGGGGGGTTTCTTTCTTTCTTTCTTTCTTTCTTTCTTTCTTTCTTTCTTTCTTTCTTTCTTTCTTTCTGTTTTAATCCCACCGTAGCAAGATTTTCCCCCCTCTGTAAAAACAACGTCTACCACGGTGAAGGTTGTCCGGGGTCTCCCCCAAATCTCGAACAGAGACTTCTCGATTTAAATAAATAAATAGCAAATAAAAAACTAAGTGGGCATAGATTTTTTTTAAAAATGATGCCACAGAAGGGGACCGGTTGTTTTCCGATTTACTCTTCTTCCAAAGTTCTCCAACGAGAAGCGAAGCCAGCGCCCTTTCCCCTGCGGGTAGCGCTGGGCCCAGCCTTAAGGCGGAGAGGGCTGGCTTTTTCCCCGCAAGACAAACTACCTTGCCAAAGACCCACCAAGCAATACACAAACACCTTTTAAAAAAAACAAAACACCTATCGACCTCTGTCTCTGTCTTGACAATATGAATCTCGGCCCTTTCTTTTTCTCGCGTTCCAAAAAATAAAAAAACAAAAAGAAACCAGCAGCCATCCTGCGCTTCCTAACTATATTTACAAAGCGCTCTCCACAGTTACCCCCAGCTTTCTCCCCCCCTTAAAGTATTTGGATATTCGGAAGAACCTCTCTCTTTCCAGCTGCAGGAGGAGAACCGTCATCTTCCAAGAAGTGACCAGATGTTCGGGGGAGGGGGAGGAGAAGCTGAGAAGCAGCGGAGGGGACACCAGGCCTTCTCCTCCTCGCTTCTCCGCCCCATTACACTTGGAAAGGTAACCTAAGAGAAGAGGGTACACGGGGGGTGGGTGGCTGCAGGAGACAAGAGCCGATCTCTGCCTCGACAGAGGCCAGGCCAGGCCGGCGCCGGTCTCCCGAATATACCTGTGCCAGATGTATACATCTCTCTCTCTCTCTCTCTCTCTCTCTCTCAGTCAAGAATATATACGTATATTGTTGTTTAAGAAAGTGGAAAGGGCGAGGAGGGGAGCGAGGCAGCGGCCTGGCCAAACGGCGTCATCAAATCATTGCGTTTGGCTGCCGAGGGCAGAGCTGACAGCTCAATCACTCAATCAATCCGTTCGTCAATCAAAGTGGCTTTTCTAGGTTTCGAGGCGCGGGGAGGTGTCAATAGCGGCGTGATCGAGATGGCTGGCGCTGATAGCGGCGGATTGATCAATCGCCTCCGGGAAGGAGTTCATCAAGAGCCCCGCGCCGCCGAGGGAGAGCCGCCGGCCGAGCGGGTGGCCTGGGAAGGCGGCTGGTTTCGGTGACCAGCGGCCGCTGAGTGGGGGGGGGAGTACTCCCAAACCGCCCATCCTCATCCATCTCAAATCCCCCCCCCCAGTCCTCCAAACTGGCCCTCAAACCTCGCTTTCTTTCTGTCGCTCGCTCTCTCGCTCTCCTTCCCAAGATTAGAAAGAAGAGAGAAACGCGCGCCGCAATTCACGCACGATCGCTCAGGGTTTTTTGGGGACTCCGACTCGCCCCGACCCGAAGGGCTTCCTGGCCTGATTTTTTCACCCATGACGTGAGGGGCATTTTCCGACAGGGACCCCTCTCCGGATCCTTCGACCCTTTTCTTTCTTTTCCCTCCCCATGGCTTCCTCCGAAGAGCTTTCGGGAAAGCAAACGGATTATTCGCCCGAAACCTCCGAAAAAGAAATGAATGGGGGGGTGTCTCGTAGGTTTATTAGGGTACCTACGAGGTGACTTTCTTTTTCACTGTAATCGGTGAGAAGAAAGAGAAGTCGGAGCATTTTAAGGGGCTAAATGGGAGATAAAGACATGCAGAAAAAGAAGGCCCAGGAGCTGGGTTTTTCTTTTCCGCTACGAGAAGGCCTCTTCTTTTCGAGAGACGTCCTTTGCACATTCATACACGCAAGCTTTTTTTCCCCCTCCTCTCTTCTCCTGACATTTCCTTCAAAAATATATCTGCTACACGCAACATGTGTCCTACTCGATCCATAATTCCTCAGGACCTAACAATAATAGCAATATAGTAGCAAGAATAGAATCACAGCACTCACGTGCAGCTACGCTTCCGATATTAATTATTCCCAATGCAAAACCTGAAATTTTAAGTCTCGCTTTTTAAAAAAAAAATTATAATCGCCCTGATCATTCAAAATATATATCAAGGAAATGCTGTTTTATCTCCTCCCCTTTAAAAAAGAGAGAGAGAGAGAGAAGGGAGTGAAAGAGAATGAAAATATATGGCAGCCCACCTTCCAAGAACAGACCAAAAGCCCGAAGAAGCCTCGACTTGGTTGGAATTCTTCGTTCCAGTTTTAAATGCCTTCTTCGCCCTTCGGCTTTAGCAGTCCGGACAGGATTGCAGGGAACGTTTGCCGTGTCTTTCCAAACCTTTTAGGAACGAGGGGGGAGACCCTGCAGCCTAGCCTGAATTAGTGACGTTTACTAGGAAGTCAGCGGGGCTTCCTATTTCCAGATAAATGAGATTTCCCCGAAACAAAGAGGGAGAAAGGAGATCGGCCAATAGATTTGGACGTGTTTTTTTTAAAAAAATAAAAAATAAAAGAGGATTAAAAATTACACATCGCAGCTGAAGAACTGGAAATTTCAGGATTGGGTTTTCCGAAAAAGAGTGGAATCCATCCATCCTTCCTTCCTTCCTTCCTTCCTTCCTTCCTTCCTTCCTTCCTTCC